CTAATCTCCCACAAATGTTAGCACTGTACAGAGGCCATAAAACATCATAAATACCTACTCTGCTTTGCTTATTAGACCTAAATGGCAACATAAACAGATGGATTTTTCTTTTTTTAAACATATATTCTGGTACAGGTATGACATTTTAAAGACATTATTGCTATTCAAATAATTTTCAGACAAAATCCTTCTTCTTGATCAAATATCTGAAAAACCAAATTATTCTGTTCTACTGTAAGCTCTGTGAGAGCAAGAATGACATGTCTTTCCTGGAATTCAATGGGCAGTTTCACAAAACTTTGTTTAATGAATAACGGATGGAAGAGATGGTTCTTCTTTAATGTCCTTTCATACTACCTAAGTTGACAACAGATATCTATAAAAGAACAGCTCTAACATTCTTATTGCCACATAACAGCACTAATCTACAATTACTATCAAGAAATGCTAATTCTGAATAGCCTTTTGTATTACCTTGAGAACTTAGAGCTTTGTGAGGACTCCAAACCACATGTGTGCCATCTGTGCAGAGATGCTAACTAATACTGCTCAAGTTCCACAAATGTTATCATGGTGAATTTCTCCCCCTCTCCTGAGAAATAGGTGAGAGGGTATAACAGCTCTTATCAAAGACAGCTGAACAAATGCATCCTCAGCTAAATGAAGCTTGTCCTAGGACAGGCCAGTAGCTACAGCCTAATGGACCAGAGGCACAGCACTGCTGACTGTAAGAGTCCCTTCCCTCACTGGCCCACCCCGTACCACGGCCTATGCTGTCCTCCCACTTCACTGCAAAATCCAGAAAGAGAAGGAACAGGAGCAGAGGGCTCAGGATGCATGTGCCATGGAGTTCTTACTAACACAAAGCTCTTTTAAAATACAGCCACCTTCTAAAAAGACATGGAAAGAAAAGAAAGCCTTTGCCACAATTTTTTTAAAAAGGAATGACCAAAAGAAAAAGGAGAAAGCTTTTCTCCACATAAATGCCTTTCAGTCCTTTCCTGTTGTTGCTATCCTGCTGAAACTTAAACGACAATTAATTACTCTTCCATATGGCTGCTGGAAAATCTAGAGGAGCTAAAAATCTAGGATATGAAGATCAGATTCTTTGACTTGCAAGAGCCATAGAACCTGACTGGCCCCCACTGCCTAGCCACCTGATGTGGGCCAGCCAGCATATACCTGGTGGAGAAGAACAGGCTAGTGCCATCCATTTCTTTTTGCCCAATTCTAAATTCCTCCCACCGACCACGTGGTGCACTAGAGTTGGCTACAAATAGAGGGAATTTGGCGTGAGAAAACCCTGCAGGATTTGGGAGTTTTAACAGCTGGTAGGCAACAATGTTTTGATACGTGTTCACAAATGGTCTTAGAAATTCTAAAATGAGCAAGATTCTTCTCTGACCCCAAACAACATATTGGCAGACAGATGCATGAAATGCAATTTCTAGCTTTTGAAAAAAGAAATATTATTCTTAATAAACAACTTGAACCTTTTGCCAGCCAACCTCTTTCTCTTTGTCCTTGCCAGGCAATGTGATCCGTTGTTTCTATTCAGCAGTTACATATCACCCAAGCACTTTACCATCCGCTGAGGCAGGCAAGTGTCTCAAATGCAGCACTGGGAAGAGGATTCAGGGTCTTGGCTGGCAGCCACAATGGTCTCTCATGCCCCCCTAACATGGCGGGATGCCTATGAGGCCAGGGTGGCCCTTGAGGCTGCTGAGGGCTCCTACAATGCTATTCACCAGGCCCCAGCATCCTCCCTTCCTTCTCAGCTTTGTAGTGATTTCCAACACGGCAATGTGAGGCTCCTCTGCAAACTAGACACAAGACCTATGCCAGGTGACATAACGCCTCAGGGACGTAGAAATCTGTTCTCCCAAAAAGTGTGGCAACCCTGGTCCAATCACATGTGTAAAATTACTGAAAATGGTGATGATGTAGGGAATTACAACACTGGTTAACACTTACTGAGTGTTCACTTGGTGGTAATTACTAACATGGAATACCTCATGGTGTTTTTGCAAAAACCCTAGTTTATCAAGACGCGGTCAACAGAGCAAGTGCTGTGGAATCAGACACAGAACTGGAGTAAGATTCCAGCTGTGCCACTAACGAGCTCAATAACCTCGAGAAAGTCCTCCAGCCCCTTTGGGCTTCACTCTGATCTGATAAATGGGGAGACTTTTGCCCACTCTGCCCTCTTCCCAGAGACAGTGCAAGTTTACAGAGAAATACCAGAGATAAGGGATGTGAAAGCTCATCAGAAACTGGAACACACTCTCCACACATACGAGCTTGGACAGGCTCTGGTCCAAGGTCACACAGCTGGTTCGAGGCTGGCCTGGAATTAAGGCCCAGGTGTCGGAACTCCCAGGCCAAACAGACAGAGCTGCTGTTCCCTTCAGTTCAGCAGAGCACAGAGACCACCAGCTGGCATGGAAGGCTGCTCTACCCAGGAACTCCCAATGGCTGACTCTCTCATCTCCTGACACCAGCTCCTCACCCTCATGCATCACTGCCAGCACAGCTGCCTCTGTCTAAATTTTCACGCATGCACACACACATAATCTCACACACACAATCACACACTCTCTCTCACTCTTTCACACTTACACATACCTTCACTCTTACAGATTATCAGAACTCAGAACTGGTCCTGTCAGCAGGGATTTGTCAACATCCTGGGAAATTCTGGAACCCTCAAACTGGCTATCACTGTTCTTCAAGATTAAGAGTTCTAGAGGTGTGTAGGAATTAATGACATAAAAAGGTGCTTTTGGGGTAGTAATGTGTTACTCTAGCAGATTTTATTTCATTTTTGCAAATATTTTGTAAGATCCAGGAACTCTGACTCTTTAAAAAGGGGTTCTTCTCTGGTTAAACTAGATGGCACTGTGCTAGTACCCTTTTTATGACCAAAAAAATCTCACTTCATTTCAAATAATTTTGCTTCAGTTTGGGACAATCCAAGAGGCTGAACCCTCCCCTTGAAGGGTCCTGGTTATGTTATGGAAAATTTCTGAAGAAATCTTCCAAAGGACAGGCCACCAAATGCAAAATTCAGACCGCATTAAAAATGTGTGTTCTAGATCATGTCACACCCTGCCTGTGCCCTGTATAACTACAGACAGAGCAATGGCTTCCATAGTAGCTGAGACCTTATTTTTACTTCTCTGCCACAGTCATGGCTGTGGGATTCTATTTTTTGCCCTAAAGAGCTTTTTTTATCACCATCCCTCACTACACCTACAAGCTCCATCAGCAAGAGAAATTATCTCCAATATTGCCAAGCTGTTTGGGATCCTCTTAAACACCAGAATCTTGCAGTGACATGGTATTACACAATTCTCACAATGGATTGAGGCAGCAACCTTCCTGGGGCCAAGGTTCTCTTAGGATGGAAAAAAAATGTTAATGCTGGAAAGGAAATGTAAGTTCAACAGATTCTTCCAGAATTCCAGCATTCAAGAAATGACACTCTAAACTGAGGGAAGGAAAAGTGAGCAGGGGGTGACGTTTCCTCTAAATCTCAACGGTGACGGGAAAGTCAGAGGGCTCCATTTGCCTGTAGCTGTACAGAAGAAAGTGCAGGGGCTGTTGTATTCCAAGACACATCTGCGAAGCACTTCCTTGTCCAAGGCGCCTAGCAAGCCTGTCCCACGGTGGGGGGCTGGGGGGAAGCGGGAGCGGGAGCTGGGAGAGGGCCCAGGTAGGCAGCTGCTGTAGCAGCAGTCTCAGAGGCCCCTGTGGTCACCTCGAGGAGGAGGTGGAGAGCACAGCTATGTCCTTGCCAGCCCAGAGACCCCAGTCCAGGGGCTCCTTGCAACTAGACTCACCTTGTCCATTCTCCAGACTCTCTGTCCCTGATTTATTTTAGGAAGAGTGGCAGAATGGGAGCCCTGGCCGGACCAACTGCACCCCAGCGCACCCTGGCCCCTCCCTCTCCGCTTTATGGCTCTCCATGACCTCCAGCAACCGGGCATTAAGGTCGGACGAAGGAAAATGCTCTAGCTGCGAAAGCAGCTGACTACAGGCTCTTTGTCAATCAGCTTTTTCCACATCAGCCCCGAATTGCCAGCAAGTGGGCTGGCAGCGCACCGCGCTGGGTCTCAGGGTTTGTAAAACGGCAGGTTTCTCAAGGCTGAACCTCACAAGGGGTCGGGGAAGCTTCCCAGCCCGCCCTTTGGCCCTCGGGGTGCCCCTCGCACTCGCCAAGCGCCGCGGATGCCTCGCGTGCAGCCAGTAGTGGAGGGGTGCAAGCTGGGTGTCCGCAAACAGAAGCAGAGGGGCACCCACTCACCCAGGAAGAGCACAGACAGAAGGGAGAAAGGAGAGTGACGACACAATTCAGGCATTAAGATGAAAAAAAACAGAAAGGGTTAAAAAAATAGAAGAATGAGAAACAAAGTACGAGGAAAACGGAGGAAGAGCCAGCGTCCAAGAGCTGACAAGATCAGGAGAACGAGAAAGAGAGAAGAGCAAATAGAGGAAGCAAGAAAAGGTGTGGGAGAGAAAGCGGAACGGTTAAGAGAAAGAGCGGAAAAGGAGGCTTCGGAACCGGGCTGCGCAGAGGACAGGGAGGGACTGGGGAACGCTACACGCCTAGCGCTGTTCTTTCGGGCGCTCCACGGCGGAGCCTGCGTGCGGTGCCCTGTCCCGGCGGTAGCAGAGGGACGCTTGTTTCGGGCCTCCCGGCCTCTTCCCTGCAAGCACTCCTCGACAACAAGCGGGCCAACACGAGGACAGATGGACAGGACTGACAGAACGAGCGGTCTCAGGCGGGAGCAACCAGTCTTTCCCGCGGCCGCCACATTGCCAGGAGCGTGCGCGCCAGGGTGTCTGGCGCCCTCCCGGCCCGGGCGCAACTGCAGGGCGCCCGGAGGCGCACAGGGTCGCCCGCAGCCGCCGGCCGCGCCCCCACCGCGCTCCGCCCGCCCAGGCCCAGGTCCGCTCAGGAGCTCCCCGGCCCCGCTCCTTAGCCAGGGCGCGCTCACCTGGACGGCCTCAGCCTGGCGTCGCGCTTGCCGTCCACCGCGGCTGGCACGCAGCTGGTGAGCTCGGTCCAGTCGGCGTGCAGCCCGCAGCTCCAGCCCGTGGAGAATCTGGAGAAGAGCCAGGTCTCCCGCTTACCCGGCCGGTGGCAAGTGCATTTCTTCTGACCCACGCGGCACTCGCAGGGCTGCTCCAGCTGGATGTTGCGCACCAGGTGGCGACCGAAAGTGGTGCCTCCTGTCTTCTGGATGTGCAGGAACACGATCAGGTCATCGCCCTTGATGTCGAAGTCTACCTTGCGCATGAGGTCGCCGCGGCTGAAATTGTAACGGGGCACGAACCTGGCGGAGCTCTCATCCTCCGAGCGGTACGGGTCCGGCATTGGAGAGCTGAACGCCTGCAGGCGGAGGAGCTGGCATTCTGTGCCGGGGCACACGTATTGGAGGACGATCACGGCAAATAGGAAGAGCATCACCAAAGCCAGCAGCAGCTTGTTGGATTTCTCATCCATGTTCCCGACGCTGGGGGAAACCCAAGCTTGTTACGTCAGTCCCGCAGCTCAGCCGGCGCTCGCCGTGCGCCCGCACGGCCCCCTCCCCCTGGCTCCGCCGCTGCGCCCCTTTCCCCCTCCCCTCTGCACCGAGTACTTCACCGCGGCAGCGGCGGCAGCGGCGGCGGCAGCGGCGCCCTTCCCCGCTTCCTTCCTTCCCGGCAGGCTCAGCGCTGTGGCTTCTGTCGCACCCCCTCCCCCCGACTCCTTCCCGCTGGCCGCCTGCCCTCTCCCCGCGCCGGAGCTCTCCGGAGCCGCTTCGCGGGGTTTCGTACCCGCGGGACCGCGCTGGTCCCGGTTGCCCGACACCCCGGGTCCGAGCCCCCGAGCGCCTTGCTCCACTCTCGGTGGCTCCGTGGCTCCGTGGCTCCCATCCCCATCCCGTTTCGCCACCGGACTCGCCCCGGCGCTCCTGCCCCAATCGTCTGGGCGCGCACGCCGCCTCCTCCCCGCCTGCCCGACTCGCGGGCTCCGTCCCCTTGCGCCCCGAAACCCTGCTCTCAGCCGCACCCGGTTGCCCAACTTGGAGGCCGCCTTGAGTGAGCTCGGAGCCGGGCATTCGGAGTTCCCCTGCGGGAAAAAGCCCGCCGGCAGCCCGACTTGCAAGCGGAGACGCTGCGCAGCCGGTGCCCGCGGAAGCGCGGGGAGGGAGCCGCAGCGTGACCAAACGCGCGCCGCGCCTCTCCGGAGCCCCCGAGCCCCGGCCGCCAGCGGCCGGCGGGAACTTTGCGCCCTTCCCTCCCCGCACGGCTGCTGCGCGTCCTGGCCGGGGAACGCGAGTCCCGCTTTCGCCTAAAACATACCTGGCTAGGGGGCCAAAAATCTTGGAGAAGATCGCACCGAGCACGTGCTTCAGCGAGTGGCCCAGGGCGGCCAGGCCCCGAGTGAGCAGGGCCCGGCAGAGGGAGCCCAGGTCCCACCGTCTCCTGAGGTCGTGCATCCGCCTGCGGCGGCCTCGGGGCAGCAGCGCGAAGATTGGGGCGCGCGCGGCTCCCGCCAGGGAGGAAGACGCCTTTAGGGGCTCGTCCAGGAGCGGCTGGGAGTTGAATCCGCGAGACACACCCCTAGGAGGGCCCGCGCGGGCTGAGGCGGCGACTGATCCGGGCCGGCTCGCTGCCAATTCGGCCTCTACTCTGGAATGCCGGCGGGGACAGGTGGTGCGGGCGGGCGCTCCTCGCTCCGGCTGCAGCGGCCGCCCGAGCGCCCGGGCTCCACACGCAGGCAGTGCCATTACCCCCTTCAGGCAACTCAGGGTACTAAGGATCAGGAGCGAGCTTGAATTTATGTAATAATGCCTCACGCCTAAAGAGCTCGAGCCACTTCACGAGCAGCGGACCTGGGTTTTCTCCTGTCTCAGGGAACGGAGGTCACTCCAGTGAGCGCGTCACTCCACTTTGGCTCTTAATTTCCACCTCCCCTAAAATAGCAAAGGCGCAAATTGGACGTTTTCCCTCTCTCTCCGCCAATTTCCATTCTCCAACGGAAGCGGGGGCATTTTCTGAAAAGGTAAGTCAGCATGAAGGAGAAGCATGACCAAAAAACGTTACAGAATGGGAATCTAAGCTTTTCAGAGCAGAGAGTAGCCCTTCCTCTTCTCTTTCTGAGTCCCTGGCATCAAGCCCCGAGCCTACAGAAAGGCTTCACTTACATAAGGTTTATTGGATGAAAGATACGTGACTAAATACCACATCAGAGTGGGGCCATCTAATCCAAGGTGATGCGACAAATGAAGAAACTGAGGTCCAGAGAGGGGAAGGGATGTCCCCAAGGTCACACAGGAGAGCCCTAGGGTTCGAACGCAGGAAACCAGGCGCCATCTAACCCACTTCCTGACACCGACCCCACCTCCTCTAGCAAGTGCTGACCATCCTCAATCCCTGGTGTCCCAAAGACTTTTTTGGCTGCAGGACCATGAATGTAAGATTAGCAAAAAGGAAGGGATGCCCCTTCAGGACAAGGTCCCCCCAGAACTCAGGATTCAGACTGTTTCCATCTGGTTGATCAGGCGAGACCTCGTGTTTGTTTCCCTGACTGAGTACCCACTCCATGCAGTCCCACTGCTGCTGAAGGGGCACAGGGTGGCAGTAGTTTCAGAGCGGTGCTGTTGGAACTGGGGGGACAGTAAGCTGAGTCCTGGGGTGGGGCACATCCCTCCAGAGACAAACTCTCTCAGTATCTCCCTCAAAACATTGCTGAGCTCTGTTCCATCCCTCTGCCGTTGTCTCTGCTCACAGAGGCAGCAAGCACAGGTCTGGGAGTTCTGAGAATCTGTCACTTCCTTACTGGACAGCCCTGGGATGACCACTTGATGCTCTAGAGCCTCAGTTTTTTCCTCTGACAAATAAAACTAATTCCTCCTTTTTTTGACCATCCGGGTCACTGTGAGGATGACCTTTGGGCAGTTCCAAATGTGAGGCTGTGTTTATGTGCTGCTCTAAGCTGGGATGTGACAGCTGAGTCACAGGCTAGTTAAAGAAGGGGCACTTCTCAGGCAATTTCACAGCTGTATCACCCTGCCCTTACCTCCCCTCAAACTTTCCCCGTCTTGGCTGAATTTCCATGTGCCCCTGTACCTACTGGGGACAGCGACGGTCCTTTGGCTACAGGCATGAGGGATTCTTGGGAATCCTGCATTTGGGGCATTTCACCTGCCCCGGGCTCCAAGAGGACACTCTGACTGATGAACTTGTATTAAGGAGTCAAATGCACTAACTTAAAAGGTAGACCTCTTGGCTTCCCCAAGAGCTCATCTGCTTATCCCACCCCACCTGAGGCTTGTGGGACATGCCTGCTGCCACTAGGGCGGGTAAGGGTGTGAGCCAGGAGAGTGGGAAGCCAAGGCTCAGCCTGCCAGCTCTCTGTGCCTACTCCTTGACCGACTGCACAGTCAGCCTCTTTAGTCCATCCAGTAGGTGGCTCTCCTCATGGTGCCATGTGAGGGCCCCTCTGCCATTACAGTATTACAATGGCATTCAGTAGGTCCCTAGTAAAACACTTCTGAATGGATGAGCCACATATTCATGCTTCCAGCAACTAACTCTGTAGTTTCTACTCTGAGAGAGACTAGTGGGATTGGAACATGGGAAAGTGCCTTAGGTGTGTGTGTAGGGGGGCGGTTGGTACCAGTGCAGGGAAAAATGTACACCACACACACACACACACACACACACACACAAGCCCGACTCTCAGAGAAAGGGGACATCAGGTCAGTAGTTGCAGAGCAAAAGAAGGGACAAAATAGAGCTGTAAAGTTCAGTGTCCAAGAGCTAATGTCACTAACATTCTAGCGTGAATACATACTACAGCTCACTGAGGATATTTGCATTTACAAGCCCTTCCTCCACCCACCTCATGCTACAAGAAACACAAAGAAATGAGTCTGTCTTGGTGAATTTCACTTATCAGCGCTCCTAAAAAGTAGAAGAAAACTGTCTTTGAGGGTGTCGGGGTGACAAGTGTCAAAGGACCCCTCCTGGGGTGAAGAGGGTCCCTACTAGGAAAAGGGAACTCCTATGTGTGTCCCAAGAGCAGTGTTCTCATGAACACCAGTCCTGAGCCTTGGCAGGAAGTTCAGGGCTTGCATTCCAGGGCTGGGCCCACCTCCCAGGAGCTGGTTCCTCTCAGGAACTTAATAACAAAGGTCCTAATGCTCTAGAAATCAGCCTTGTTTTGGAGATGGGGGCCAGGTGGGGGTGTTGCTAAAGAGGAGGAGACCCAGCTGAAATGTCAGTCCTTTGCTTTTCCATGTCCTTGTTTCTTAGACCAACCTGAGCTGTTGGGTGTATATATATCTTTGGGATTCAGTACTTGGAAGGTGAGGATTCTGCAGTCTGAGCAGGTCTTGCAGTTGTCTCTATAGTGTGGGGGGTAGGCTTTTCATTATTTTTCCAGAACCATCCTTCCATGGTTTCCACAAAGGGTTGATGATTCTGGGAGCATAAAGGTCAGCCTGGCTTGCATACTAAACAGTGCACTTCCAGACATGCATTCGGTTGCGACAGTCTGAGAGGATAGCAGGCGATAGTTGAGAAAGCACCAGCCTGGGAGTCCAGGGAACTGGGTTCTTGTCTTGGCTCTGCCATGAACAAGACCCTGTATGACTATAACGAAGGTACTTGCTTGCTTTTGGGCTCAGCTTCGCTATTTGTGAGAAGGCAAAATTGACGTTGCAATTCAAAGGGCACTTTCCTGCTCACACGTTATAAGTCATGTGCTTTCTTGTCTTCCTCAAGGGCCAAAGTATTGTCACACCTTCAGTGCCTCAGCAAAGAGGAAAGCTGTAGGCCTTGCCCTCGATGCTTTCAGAGACACTCACGTTGTTGAGTTCCACCAGGTACCAGCAGCTGGACTTGTATGGGGGTGACATAGGGGTCCCCTGTTCAAACTGGAACAGAAACAGTGAAAGTGTCCAAGAAAGTGCCGGCATTCTTTATACAGAGCATAAAACACTAAGGAAATAAGCTTTCCCCCTTATCCTGAGTATTCTCCTAGACCTTATCTTTCCAGCTGTCTCTTATTTTTGAAAAAATGTTCATACTCTCAATAATAGGTGATTTTTCTCACAAAGACTGAAGGCATGCAAACTATTGAGTCAGTTCGTTTCTGGTTTGTACATCTCCAAACTAAATGAGCAGCAGTACTTAATGAAAGCACTGCTCAGAAATATTATAAACAGGTTGGGTGTGTTATACTGATAACTCTCAAGAGTCATCTGTTTCCCCTCCACACACACACAGAAAACACCTAGTTTTATTTGTTTCGCCTTACAAATCATGGGACTCCAGGAATTAAAAGGGGAGGATAATGCTGGGGTGCTGTGTAGGCTGCACCAATATAAGCTGCAGAGGCAAGGTAAGCCCTTGAATGGGGTGACTGTCCATCCCCCAGTGAGGGGGACCTGCCATTTCACTAACAGAGAGATCCCTTCATCGCACTGACAGTAAATGGAAGAGTCAGTTCATGCAGGGCTTTAGAGGTGTGGAAGCCAAGGCCTGGCGACCATAGGCAGCAGGCCAGACTCCGTTCCTGTGATTGTCACTTCACTTCTCTGGCCATCAGTTTCTGCTCTTAGAAAATAGCCTGACTAGGTATCTTCAAACTGCTGGTTTGGGGGTGTAGTAAAGAGGAATCCCATCTCAAATGAGCTTTTTTAACAAGGAGAGAGCATAGTTTGGAGAGCACATCACCCTGGGTTTATTTTTTTTGATATCATTAATATACAATTACATGAACAACATTGTGGTTACTAGACTCCCCCCATTATCAAGTCCCCACCACATACCCCATTACAGTCACTGTCTATCAGCATGGGAAGATGCTATACGATCACTACTTGTCTTCTCTGTGCTATACTGCCTTCCCCATATTCCCCACTCTGCTACATTATGTGTGCTAATCGTAATACTCCCTTTTCCCCTTATCCCTCCCTTCCCATCCATCCTCCCCTGTCCCTTACCCTTTGGTAACTGTTAGTCCATTCTTGGGTTCTGTGAGTCTGCTGCTGTTTAGTACCTTCAGTTTTTGCTTTGTTCTTATACTCCACAGATGAGTGAAATCATTTGATACGTGTCTTTCTCTGCCTGGCTTATTTCACTGAGCATAATACCCTCTAGCTCCATCCATGTTGTTGCAAATGACAGGATTTGTTTTCTTCTTATGGCTAAATAATATTCCACTGTGTATATGTACCACATCTTCTTTATCCATTCATCTACTGATGGACACTTAGGTCGCTTCCATTTCTTGGCTATTGTTAATAGTGCTGTGTTAAACACAGGAGTGCATATATCTTTTTGAATCTAGTATCTCGTTTTCTTTGGGTAAATTCCTAGAAGTGGAATTCCTGGGTCAAATGGTATTTCTATTTTGAGCTTTTGGAGGAACCTCCATACTGCTTTCCACAATGGTTGAACTAATTTACATTCCCACCAGCAGTGTAGGAGGGTTCCCCTTTCTCCACATCCTCGCCAATATTTGTTGTTGTTTGTCTTTTGGATGTTGGCCATCCTAACTGGTGTGAGGTGATATCTCATTGTGGTTTTAATTTGCATTTCTCTGATGATTAGTGATGTGGAGTGTCTTTTCATGTGCCTGTTGGCCATCTGAATTTCTTCTTTGGAGAAGTGTCTTCAGATCCTCTGCCCAGTTTTTAATTGGATTATTTGCTTTTTGTTTGTTGAGGTGCATGAGCTCTTTGTATATTTTGGACACCCTGGGATTTTAGTCAAGGCTCCATGAGCTCTCTCAGAGCCTCAGTTTTACCATCCATGAAAATGGGGCTAATGTTACCTACCTCACTGTGTTGTCATGTGAGTAACTAAAATAACCTACTGCAAGCACTTAGTCTAGTTCCTAGAAAAGGAGACCTTCAGGAAATGTTCATTTGTCTTTCCTTTTGACTCTGCATATCTTTGGTTTGAGCTCTTTGTTATATTTTTCACAATAGTAGCATATACATATTTAATGACAGGTGGCTGGCCCTGAGCCTAATTGTTACCCAGATAGCTTTGCCCCCATTGCATTTCTTTACATGTACCCTTTTCTTATCCAACCTTCTCACC